AAGATCAGACCATGCACGACCCAATAAGCCTTCAACATGAGTGATTTGACCGTTCGGATCTTGATGGTTCAAACATTTGAACATAACGAAGTAAAACGAAAAGGGAAAAATCGTCACCAGCATGCTCTACAGGAAGTGCAGCGGGGTAACGGCTGAAGGAGACTGTTATGGTTTTCTCAATCATACGGTACCGATGAGGCTTTATGGTGAAACGTCTCTCCACCATCATTCAACTGTTAATTAGCTGCAGGAAGTTGTCTCCTGATATTTTTTCCGTCCACTACAATTTCATATACATATTATAACATATATAGTTTTATAATAATTTTATTATTATATGCTGCCCCTGGGTTCTGTCACTCTATTTCTGTTGAAAAAGGAAGCTTCAGTCGGAGCGGGAACCAGAAACGTTCCTTTGATATCATAGCGCCTGTGAATGGGCAACAGGTCAATGCCCTTAGGAGTGTAACGGCCCAATGCGCAGCGTTTGCTGGGAGTTCGACCATTGGCTGTGGGTTTTTCAGGGGTTTAAACCATTGGCATTACATAAAACCAGCATGGGGTTGAAGTAAAGGGGGAGGTATGTCGAGGTGATCCCTGAAATATTTCTGGAATTCTTGAGAGATTACTCCCACTGAGCTTTCGCTGAGGTTAAATCTTTGGGGGAGACATGACCGCATTTTGTTTGAACTAAATTGCGGATGAGCCCCGAAGGTTTAAACCCAGTTTCACATGTGCCCTGCCTGCGGGGTGAATCTGCTGTTCATACGAAACTTCTTCCCGTTCCACGGACAGACAAATTGCAGATTATATCCCTGAGTATCTAAGACGGTTCCCACAAGGTCCTCGACACAGATCTCATATTCGCAGGACTGCAGTCCTCTTTTGTCACCCTTTTATTTTTTTTTTATTTTTTTTTAGTGTATGGTCTGAGCCTTCAGACTCAAGCTTTAAGTGGGCGCGTGACAGGCAGCACAAGCCCCGAACCGCCCTGGTCGTTGAGGACCTCGGAAGCGGGCGCGGCGAGTGACAGGCGTCGTTGCCCTTGGCTTCAGCGAGCGGTAGGCGACCCCTCCCCGGGTTTCCTCACATCGCGACCAAACCGGTGCCATAGCAAAACATTTGCGATGGAGTGACCCCAGAAGAACACGTAGCCATTCGAGAAGAAGATGCGCAAATGATGGCTACGATATTTTCTTGGCGGTCGGACAACTCGTTTATTTCTGCACCCCCGCCTTAAACCACTAAGCGGGTAAGTACAAAACAGATCGATGTGCAGATATGGAACCATCCGTACGAATTGCTCGTGCCCCACTACGTACCCGACGAGATCCACCACCTCATTGCGGATATCCTAAAGGAATACGAGGGAGCGGTTAGCGTGACGGACATAGACATTGGACTATCATTGGTCATACAGGACGAGATTCAAACTGGAAACCACCCCCCTATCCACTGTAAACCCTACAGATATTCCCTAGTGGAGCGAAAAACTGGGCTTTAGCGAATTCGGGAGTTCGAAGCTAATGGTTTGATCGAACCCGCCATTGGACCATGGTCATTCCCGATAGTATTAGTATCGAAGAAGAATGGGTCGATTCGCATTTGCATGGATTACCGGAAACTGAATGATATCACGATCAAGGATGTGTATCCCCTTCCCCGGATTGATGATTTGTTGGATGCGATTGGGTGTGCTAATTATTTTAGTAAATTTGATATCCGTCACGGCTTCCATCATATTTTGGTTAAGGAGGAAGACCGACCGAAAATGACCTTCGTATTGTTTGAAGGCACGTGGCAGTGGATCCAGTGTTCGATGGGGATTTGCAATGTGCCTGCCACGTTTCAACGGGCTATGAATATAACGTTTCAAAACTTCGTCAACAAGACACGACTGACTAAAGGAATGATGAACTTCTGCGTCATCGTGTACATGGACGACATCTTAGTCTACTCGGAAACCTATCACGGGCACGCACAACATATCGAGTGGACATTGGGGCCTCTGAGAGACGCTGAGTTCAAAATCGCGCTCGAGAAGAGCGAGTTTTTCCTATCAGAGATCTCGTTCTTGGGTTACGTAGTGACGCGGGGAGGACTGCGGCCAGATTCGAGAAAGGTCGCGACGGTGAAGGATGACAGGTTCGAGCCTTTTTGGGACTGGCATCATACTATCGTCGTTTCATCAAGGGCTTTGTCGTGATAGCAAGGCCCCTAATGAACTTGTTGCGGAAGGACCAGCCTCTCAGTTGGGACGCCGAGTGCGAGCAGGCTTTCGCCACCCTCAAGAACGCCCTGGCCACAACACCTATTTTGATCCGGTCAGATCCTACGAAGCAGTTCATTCTCATTACGGACTGGCAACCGGAGGCAATTTCTGCCATTCTTGCGCAAAAGGGGAACGACGACCGAAAACACGTCATCAAATACGCATCGCGCACGATGCCAGACGAACGGAGGAACGATTCGGCCCCGCAAGGCGAATGTTATGTCGTGGTTTGGGGAATCCAGCACGTTCATCCGTATCTTTACGGACATAAGTTTCTTCTAGTGACTGATCACGAGACAGACTCTGAACAGGCTCACTAACTACACCGGTATGATTGGGCGTTGGGCGGTACGCCTACAAAAGTACGATTTCGACATCATCCATCGGAAGACGGAGAGGCACGGGAACGCCGACGGTTTGACACGTCTGCATCGACCACGTAAGGTACCTAAAGGCGAGGAAATCATTTCGTGAAAGGAGCCGGAATCGACGAACGGACCCAAGTATGGACAAGTGGCAGTCCTCCCATGTGGCAAGAAGTAGACAAGTGGCAATGGGGGACGGAGGTAATCCTACAACACCTCTCTCTCCCCTCTCACCTTCATCTCTTCTCTCTCTTCCCGATAAATTTTGGTATTTTTGCGAAGCGATTTCACGCGTTTATTCCGTCCCTATGCATCCTACTGGGAAGGATATGTCGAGTGGGTAGATTGTCGGCAGTGTGTCGCGCGAGCCTATGGATCTTGCATTCAATATCGAAATGGCAACAAACCTTGGTTGTGCCCCTTGTGTCGAGTTGATAAGATCCCGACAGAGGCTCGATTTCTCGACGCCACGTTTAAAGGGTTCAAGTTAGAAAAGACCCAAAAATTTAGAAGGGCGGAGGTATGGACGGATATTGCTCTAATTGCCACCTTGGTAGGTAACCCCCTCCAAGACTTCACTAAGGAGGAACGGAGGAGGGCCAATGAAAGGGCTCGGGACTATCGCTGGAACGAGCATTGGTTAGAGAAACGGAAGATGGATGGTAGCGGGATCTGGATGATAGTGCCACACCCGTTCATAAGGTATGACTGGGTTAAGACAACCCATGAGGAAGCTGCAACCCATTTTGCCGTCCGAATTACGGAAGTGGCAATTGATAAAAACGAGTGGTATTGGTCCAACATCCACGAAGATGTTAAATTCATCGTCCAGCAGTGTCAGGTCTGAGCTGTTGACGAGGCGCCGATTCAACCGCCAAGGTCGATAGTACCGACGGTAGTTGAACCACCCTTTCAGAGGGTTAGTATGGATACTACCGATATTGTAGTACCCCCTGGACCTAATAGCTGTGAGTATTCCATCCTACTGGTATTCATAGACCACTTCTCGAAATGGATTGAGGCATATCCGTATCGTACGCGACAGGCGGCTGAAATAGCGAGATACGTGAAGCGTTTCTTAGGAATGCATCAGGACACAGAGGAGATCCTGACCGATAATGGGGTAGAATTCAAAGACCCTGGGAAGTTTTGAGGAATCTGGTCATATACGGCGTCGCCATACAGAATACTGCACCCCACATGTCACAATCTAACAGGCTGGTAGAGAATGCAAATAGGGTAAGTAAGACTGCACTGCGGCGAAATATCGCGACATGGGATCTGAGACCCTGGCGTGATATTGTGGATCACATCCTAGCGGTCCATCGGGGGACGCCTCACAAATCGACGGGCCTGAGCCCCTTTCAATTACGGACCAATAGTGTGGCTTGCGTCTCAATACCGAGCCTCCCAGACGAATCTTCGTTGAACCGACGGCCTACGAGGGCCATGGTTCGAGACAAGGCCAAGCGACACCTAGAGCTGATGGAGCGGTCCCTTCCCCGAAAGCGTCAAAAAATGATTGAGTTGGCCCACGGCCGACAGGTCCGCAGTTACGAGGCCCGGAATGGGAATGCGGGACCACGGCCCCAATATAAGTTAGGGGACATCGTGCAGGTGAGGAAATGTGCTCGCCAGGGTAAGCTAGCGCCATGATTCTTCGGGCGATTTCACGTAATCGAGCTCGGTCCGAACAGAGTGAACACGATGCGAGTCGTGCCTGAGGTCTCTGGCAGCCAATCTGGTCGTCCGATCACTCGCCACGTGTCCTATCTGTGGCCTCTCCCTTCCTCTCCATCTCCACCTTCGTTCGCCCCCTCCTCCAGCACGGAAGAGGACGACTACTGCTTATCGCCTTCTCCTTCTCTATCTTGCTCCCCTGCCGATACTCTGTCCCCGCTGCCATCGCCATGAGTTTTTCCACCGAGCAGGTTCTTGGCGAGCACATGCTGGCACCACGCAGCGATATTTCAGCAATCAGACAAGTCCATCATCCACGGATCAGTCTGGATTTTCTCCGATTTGCACAGTTCTTCATCACCATTGGGGTGTATGCAGCGGCAGAGTTCCGTTTTGCGGCGCATAGCCGGACACTCGTGTTGGCCGAAGCATCAGCTTATCGACGGCTTTCGGGGCCAGGGGTCAGCCACATGACTACCCTCGTCATCTTCAGCGGGGACATCAGCGCGCTGGATCCTACGAGGCATACGACAATCTAGACATCGCTAAGGGAGTGGTGTGAACAGTTAACACAAGACTCAGGAGTGGAGTCGGTGGCTTGCGCGGCACAACGACAACCTCGTCGTCACCAACAACGTCGACGTCGGCGGGCTCCGCACGTCCCGACGCGAGCCGTGGCGCTCCCAGAGCTCGTCCCCTTTCTGCGCCCTCAATGAACCGATCCCAGTTCTCAACCTTTACCCTCCCTTCTCTCGTCCCCAATTTCTGCCAGTCTGCTCTCCATCCCCGCCTTTCTTTCTGTATCCAGCCACTCGCCGTTCCCCTCATCGAGCCAAGACACTGGGAAATCTGGTGTGAACACTACCTCACTCTTTCGCTGTGCCTGGTCGAAGTGGAGCTGATGTGGACACGGGACAGTGAGCATCATGCCGCGGAAGAGAGAGTTGAGCTGCTAATCATCCTGGCCTGGAGAACGGAGGTGGAAGGAGATCTTATCGAATTCATCTTCGGAGTGGTAGAGCCAAGCCATCGGCAGATGATAGTGTGGGAGCTCACGATCCCCTTTGCACAGCTGATCGACGACCTCCCCCTCGACATCGTATCACGGTGCGACGAGAGCCCAATACCGCACGTTCTTTCGCGAAGATTAACGCCATACTTGCAGTGGTCAGCCTGCTTGGAGGATCGAACGGGAGGTGGCATCTACCCATTACGTGCAGAGTATCTGAACCCCCGGGAGATCATCGACGTCCTTTTTTTTCAGCCTCGAACAGCTGTGGAAGAGACAACGGTGGCAAAGGAAGCAGAGGTGGAGGACGAAAGCGAAGAAGAAACCTCGGACGAAGAAGGAAACTACAGTGAGTACAGCGAGGAAGAAGAGGGGGCGGAGAGTGAAGAACAAGAAGAAGAAAAATATCAGTCGGAGGAAGAAGAAGGATCTGAGTGGGAGACTCTGGGTGAGGAGGCGGATCGCACAGAAACTCGGGAGGAGGATTCCGAGGCGGCAGCATGGCGGAGAAAGGAGATCGCGGCCGGGAAGCAGCCGTTGGAATACGCAAGTGGTGCGGATCTGCCGATCCCGAACGACCCGACCAAGGATCCCGAGCCACCCAAGAACGACGATGGGGACCCTACTGCCGAGACTTTGAGCGCACTGGCGCGGAGGCGACGGAGCCGATCCCCCTCCCCATCCCCGCGCCCTCGAGTTCGAACACGTGTCGATGCGGGGCATCGGGCTTCGTCCCCGGTCGTTATCCCCCCGTTGCCTTGATTACCTCACCTTCTGCCAGATTACCATCCCGGTCTCTTTCCCCCACAAACCCTTCCCCACCAACACTTTCCGTCACTTCTACGCTTTCCGCCTCGCTGTCACAGTACACCCGCACCCTTCTGCTCGGTGCGCCACCCCTGTCTTTTGCCTCCATGTCCTTCTCTTCAGTGCCGCGTGGCGAGGCCACAACATGATCGAGGTCTATTGCATGATTACGGGGGCGATCCCCGCGTGCGAAAACCATGATCGATTCCGGACGGCCCTCCTCCGCACCTTCACAACCCTCTACCCCGACTATCTCGCCTCTCTACCCCATAGTGGTACCCACTTCCCTCGCTTCCATAGGATCGTCCGATATTAGGAGCTTCCGGTGACAGTCGAGGGAATGGAAAACTTCCTACCCCCTCTCCCGACTGACCCACCCCCTCAACACGCCCCCATGTACCGCCTTCCCTTTCCTCTCCCTGCTAGTTATTGATGTGTGATCGCATGGCATGTATCGCAAGGATGGCACGAGCGATCCCCTCCTCCAATGGATAGAGCCCTTCCTGGGGAACTTGTAGGATAAAGCCACGTACGCCACACTGGATGACTTCCACACTCTTTCACACGGTAAGTGGCACGTAGAAAGCTCCGCGTTGTCGATCGTTTTGAAAGATCGATACGTGTCGTAATGTCAAGCAAGCGGGAGCTTGCTTAAAATTGGAACCCCCTGGGCGTCACATATGTGACGAACCACTTTTTGTGCCGCGCGACTTTCTGCGCGATGACAATGAGGGGTCCTAAGATGGGAAGGTTGGGCCAATTACGGGAGATGGGATCGACGGGAAATTGAATCAATACCCTTGTTTATTCCTCTTTTTACGTTGCTTCTTTTTGAATGGCTGGGGCCAGGGCTGGGCAGGTCCCGGGATGGTCGGTTGAGTGGCTGGCGCGTCGATAGAGGCGCGATTAATAATGTTTGACGTCGCTTCTTTCTTGTTCTGTTGTCGGGTTTTGGCGCGGCGATCGCGCGGGAAGTTTTTGCTTCCTTTTTTGCTTCCTTTTTCAAATCTTGTCGAGCCCTCGATGGCTCTCGGAATTTCGGACTTTCTTTTCGGAATTTGTGCTTTCATAAAGTTCCTTTTGCATTTTTACGTGCATAGGAATTTAGGAATTTAGGAACTTAAGAATTCGGAATTTCTTTTGCCGCTCGCGCGTTTCTTTTTGCGGCTGCAACGGAGCTCTGCTTAGTAGGCGCCCTTAATCTTGCGTGTAACTGTAATTCTCGGCGGGGCGCCCTTGTAACTGTATCTTTCTTCTTTAGCTTCGTCTTTCCCCCCGTCTTTCTTCTTTGCTGTGTCTAATTGGCCTTTGGGCTGCATGATCGGATCAATGCGTGGAGAGTGGCTACATCCGCCACGCCGCAATCTGGCCATGCAAAACGTAGGCACTCCCTCCCCTTTTCTCCTTCTGAGTCCTTGCAATTCCGTGTTCTTCGCGCATGAATGCGCACTAAAAATTTCGGTTGCGCGAGTAGATATGCAGTGTGTACTACGTAGGTGGGTCCGTGTGGTATGCCCTAGTACCTGTCTATTGCAGGCGCGCCTTTCATGTCCTCTTATGTTTGTTTTTTTTTGCTCCTCTGGGACTGCCGTCTTATGTAAATGCCAAGGACAAAGGTAGGGTTATGATATGGTGGAAATCGAGAAAGGCGAACTGGTGTAAAGGTGGGAGGATCGCTGGTAGTCAAATGAAACTGCAGTGTGGTGTACAAAACTGGGACGCTGGACCCGGTTTCCAGCTGATGTAGCTCCTCACCACTAGTTTGGAGCCATCTCCATTGGGGATCCTATTCGTAAGGGTTGCTCCTATCTGCTCCACGAATACGGTTGGTCGAGATGATGTGATGTCCGCCTAGCAGACCGTTATGTTTATTTGTATGGGACATGGGACCCCTTTCCCGGCTTCTGTTATAACACTCCCCTTCCACGTGTGTACGTGGTTTTTTTTTTTTCCCATTTTTCATTCATTCAAAAAAAAAAAAAAAAAAAAAAA